TCCTCCCTGCTCCCCTCCACTCTGCCTGGCTCCTCACCTCTCCATCTCTCCTCTGTCCAACCCATCCCCTTCATCAGGAGCCCTGGTAGTGTAGTGTTTTGTGTTGCTCTTCTAATCCAGGGGTTGTCAGTTCGGCTCCACCAGCCACTCTGTGGGAGAAGGGTGACTGAGTCGCATGGAGGTTGCAGGTATACAGAAGCCCGAGGGGGGTGTCTGTGAGCTGACAGGAGGACAGTGCGTTTCGCTAGGGTTTCCCACATAAAGACAACCCCCAAGGGACTTAGAGACCCCCTGCTGCCTGGGGGTCTCTGCTTGGGACACACAGTGACCACGTGGGGCTGCTTGCCAAGGGATTGGTGGCCAAGTCTCTGTCCCCAGAAGTCATGCTCAAAGGCACCAGGCTGAGGACTTCAGTGTGTCTTTTGGGGATACAATTTAGCCACACTCCATCTGTACCCCATAGGGCATGCAGGATTCAGATAGGAAGGAGTCGGGTGTCCCAGGCCCCACACCCCTGATGTCCTCATAACCCTCCTGGCCCCACAGGTGAGATCCGTGCCCACCTGCAGCCCTCCAAGGCCGGCCGCCCCCGGACGTCTGGGTCCTTCTCGGCTGACCCACAGCCCCCACCCCTGCCCAAGAAGACGCTGACGAGAACCCAGTCCCTGCCCACCCACAGGCCCTCCGTTCCCAGCCCCACTCATGCCAGGCCGCTTCGGAGGCCCCTCCTGACATCACACAGCGTGGACAAGAGCCAGGAGGCCAGCGTCGAGGCCAGACCCGCTGCCACAGAGCTGACCTTCAGGACGGCGGACGCTGAGCTGGGCCACCTCTTCCACGACCTGCACAGCCCGGAGGCCGTGCACGCCTCACTCGCCGCCCGGCAGCTGGCCACCCTCGGCACTGTCCATGCGCGGCTGCACGCCCGGCTCACGGGGGGCCGCCCTGGGCCCTGCCGCCCTGGCCACAGCTTCCGCCTCCTGGACAGCTCTCCCTACGTGGACAGCGGGGACGCCCTCTACTATCGCGTGGTGCGGGTGGACGAGGACGCCTGGCACATCCTGGCCGCCAAGGTGAGCAAGGGTCCCCAGGCCATGGTGGCACCCCACTTTGCCTCACCTAGTTTTCCATCTCGAGCACAACGCATAACCTCTGCTCCAAAGTCAGCAGTCCGCCCACGTACCCCAAGCAGCACCTCACCCTGGGGGGATTTCAGCAGAGCTTGGAACCGTCTCTTCCAGTTCAATCCAACAGAATCAGAAAGGATGTGACTTTGTAAGTGAATCAGGACAAGTATCATAACTGGAAAAACTCCAGGTTAACACTCGACTGTTGAGGGTACTGTCATTGTTCTGTGCCGTCCAGTCAACTGACACAGTGACTCTACACACAATAGCTCTGAATTCTGTCCTATCCTGAGCCAATCTCACTGTCACCAACACACCTACCTCCATCGCCTCATTCACTGTGTCAACCCATCTCTTCTGGGGTCTTCCTCCCCTGTGCCATCTCTTTAACCTTCCAAGCATTATGTCCTTCTCCAATTCAATATTCCTTTAAGGAAAAAAAATTAGATGGTTAAGAGATTGAGATAGTTAACAGCTTCAGTTTGCTTGGCTCCACAGTCAACCCTCTTGGTAACAGCAGCCAGGAAATCAAGAGATCAATTGCATTGGGAAAGTCAGCTGTCAGGGATCTCTCCAGAGTACTGAATGAAGAGCAACAATGTCAGGCTGGAGACTAAGGTGCGCCTGATCCAGGCTATAGTCTGCAATTACGTGCTATGCATCAGAGAGTTGGACAGTGACTAGGGATGATAGAAAGAGAATTGATGCCTTTGAGCTGTGGTGCTGGAGAAGAGTGTTGAATATACCATGGACT